TTATGAATCCCGGCGATTTACACACCCTCCTGATAATGAATATTAATACGATAGATATTAACTGGCGACGTTAAGTATGCCTAACGGATACACGTACGGATACCAACAGAAGCGTAATGAGAGATTTTATCCGATTAAAAGCAGTCGTTCGAGAATAATATCTAATCGAGAGCAGTCCTGAATTCGCTTTGATCGCTCGATCGCGGAACACCCGTCCATATGTTTCTCTGTATTTTGCTCCGGTATTCGCCTCGTATTTGCACGATATTTGCATTATATTCGCGTTGTTTCGCTTCGTCGAATTCGGAAGCTTTTCGCACCTACGATTTGCATCTCGCATATCGTCGATCGTTATCGATCATGCGCGATCGTAATTACGCGGGAATGTCGAAATTTTACGACCATCCGGTTGACAGTCATCGATTATTTTCCAAACCGGAATCACCGGTCGAATGATACCTCGGGCGCTTCCAAGTATCCATTGTTCGATCGCGTTTCGGCGATTTCCCGAGAAAGGAAGGTATAATTTTACGAAAACCAACGAAGGCGTTTCCCTGAAACTCGATTTTTCCGTTTCTCTCGGAAACGAGTGAAAGAGGCGTTGAACGATTAGCCACGACAAAACGAGAGCGTCGAGACGGGCTACGACCTGGACTCTTTGGCCATCTTTGGCGAACCACGGACGATGGAACAGAAATCGTTTATAAAATCGTTACGATTCCCCTCTTGAATCCCTTCGACGGACTTGGTGAACGGTACTCTAATTACGTAACCGCGTATGGTAATTAAAAGTAAGATGCCGATTGGACGAGTTTATTACCGGTATAATTACCATAATCGAGCCCCCACGTAGCGTGTACAGTTCCGTCGCGTTCAAGGCTCGCTCCTAGACGATCGATCTACATTAGATAACTAATTATCTCGCCATTGTATAAATTATTATTTGCGCTGAAGCGTGCGCTTTTGTACGACTTGGATCTAGCCGATCGTGTAAGGCGTACAGGTTGTTGGTGTTTGTTACAACGACAGTTGGACAACGTAGGAAGGATACGATACGTAGGAAGGGTTAACGATAAGAAAATAAATCGCGAATATCGAATAGGTTACATCGCGTTTAGCGTTATCGATTCTGCAGCTACTTCCGTTTTAGATAAGCAGGAAAATTATCCGATTATTATTATAGAAATTTTGCCAAGTACGCAATCAAACTGTACGAATTTCCTTGTTCACGAAAGTACGCGTGAAACGGACAGAATCACGTTTCGATTGAAATTTCCTGTACTTTGTGCAAGCTTGATAATATCTGCGTAACACAGGTCGATATCTTTCCCTGTCGAGTATCGAAATTTAGTAAAAGGAAAACCTGGACAGTCGTATTAAAATCAAACCATAACGTCAGTTGCAGTCGTTATCGCGTTACGTAGGTGGTTCGCGAAATGGCGAATTCGCGCCACGCGTTACAATTTATCGCGCTATTTCCCACTCGTTTCTACCCGTGGTAGTTTCTACGTAAGCCGACCTTAAGCGCGTTTCCGCGATTCCGTGTGGCAATTAACGTTTCGAGGTACGCGGTAAGTTTCGTACCGTAATGACGGAGTCAGAGGATCGTTCGATATACGTACATTTCCAAAACGCAAGACAGGTGATATCGAATGGAAAAGTTAGGTGTATCTACGACGTGTTGCATCAAGGTTTCCTCGACGCGACGTCGAGGAGAAAAGAAAGAAATAGGAAACTTTTGTACTTTTCTCAAAAGCAATTAACGCCCGGTATATTTCATAGTCGCATCGATCAGCGGTAATCCCGAGCCCGATGATGAATCACGTAAAAGGGAAGAAAGGAAGAAGAAAATTAACGAGAAATCGTAGATAAGACCGGTGTTCTCGGGAAACGTTTCCTTCGAGTATGTCCCACTGATAGTCCTCTCGCGTTTCGTTGCTCACCTAGGAGGAAAATGTACGGCGAAAAAATTCGATAGACGACGATAGATATCGCAATGGAGGAAATAACGTAGAACCGGTGCTTGATATTACGATGAGTCCAAGATAAAAGAAAACAGGATCATTGCGACAGTGACGCGCGACGCTGAAGACTGCGTGAACGAGACAGATTTATATAGTTGCGGCGAAAAATTCCAGTCACGGCACCCTATGAACTTTTCGAAGTTATTTATTTAATCATGTTCGCAAATGCCCGAGACTAATTGGAGATTGTCGGAGTTACCTGGAAATACGACGGGAGGAAATGTCAATAAGAACCATAACCAGAATTATTGCGTTGGTAGGTTTCCTTAGAAGTTGACGAGTTGCCAACAGGGAGGCACATGGAAATTTCTGCGAGCCTTCGTGAAAATAACAAATGATCCATCTGCGTCGAATGATTGCACTTTTCGAGTCTCATTTAAACCAAATTTTTCCTTCTTCATTTGCTTATTGTGTTTTCCTCCTTTCTTCTCTCTATCCTGAAAGGGTAAACGGGTTTGCACACGAGTTGCGCGAGTCGAGATAGATTACATTCTACCGAGAACGAAATGTTCGTAATATTTAACAACGAACGGCGAACAAATCATCGATACTCGCGCGAAATAAAATATTAGCAATACGGTCGTGTGAAATTGCGTTACGTTTGACAAGCTATTTCAAAGGCTGTTGTCACGGGCGTTTATTATCGGTAATAAACTCCTGTGACGACAGCTCTTAGATTTTGATATAGTTAGGCACGCCGTAAATTCTGTATCCCGGCTAAGGAGATAAATAAATTTTACGATCTATCTAGGATTCTTAATATCGCGATATCGAATAAAATATGCGCGTTGTATTTCGTAAAGATAGCGTTAAGGGAAAACACTCGAGCAATTAACATTTCTTCTCGTCGAGAGTTGTGGCCGTTGGTTCTCGCGTTCCGTCTTACTTCTCGCTCCAATGCATCTCGATTCTCTCTAAATTTTGATATACGCGACTAGCGCTCGATTAACGAATCTTTTCGTTTACCAGCAACGCTATATATCTGAGAGAAAGATAGGGAAAAGCGAGCAAGAGGGAGGGAGAGAGAAACAAAGAAAGACATACAAAAAGAGACAAGAAGGAGAACGAGAAAAAAGGCATTCGCGTACGTACGAATCGAACGTGCAGACCGGTTTATGGGACTAGGTAATTCACGAACCGCTGGATTACGCGCGCACGTCTTGTTGGCCTGACGCACAGCAAGTGCCACTCCGTTTCCGTGCTCTTAGATCGGCCTTGGTGCATGAAAGTAAGATCTCGTCTCATTTAGAACAGCGCCGATGGAATCGAGGCGCGTATGATCGCCGCATAGGTATGAGCGATATCGACGCGATCTATGCAACTCTATAACTCCTAATGATCCTATTCCTAACGTATGGATCCTTATCTCGGATAAGAAGAAGGCCAGCGAGCAGCTTCCGGCTCGACCGAGTACCGCGATAACGCCTAAAATCGATCAGAGGAATCTCGCAAACTGCTCCACCTGTTCATCTTTGCGTTTCCCAGATGCAACAAACGCGGGTGCAGAACGGAATAATCGGATGCAAAGGGATCTCCGAAAATTGCTAAATTTTCCTATCAAAACGCGAAACGAGGTCGTGGTTGATTGAGAAGAAAAAAAAAAGTTTTCAGAAGCCGAATAACCGACCTCGACCAAGTCGATCGGTTTGTCTTTTACGTGGCTCACGTATATGATACAACTTAGTACACGGCCTGCGGTTAACGCAGAAAAAGAGCAGACATAAAAACTGAGGGTATTTCTATCACGGTTCTTCCTTCGGTTTCACCTGCAATCGGAATTCCCAGAATCACGCGAACGCGGAACAGGTGTGCGACAATACAACGATACTGTTTAATCGACGATCCGGATCGAGCGCGATTAACGCGTCAGCGTGGATCGCTCATGTGTGTCGATCGAGCGGCGATGACTCGCTCGGACGTCTACTTGGGGGAACCTGAGCAACTGGTCCTTTTTGTCCTTTTCTTTCCGCTGGTAAACGAGATCGATTCCCGCGAACCTCTCTGCCTGGGGAATTCACAGTGAGAGTGGAACGAACCAGCGAGGAATCAACGGAATTCGCGACTATGGTTGGGAGTCCCCAAATGCTTGCGTCTCCGGCGGCTCGTGACGTTGCCGGTGACGTCGATCGCCGTACGCGGTCGCATGGAAATGCCGCCGAAGGGAAATTTCCTGCATTCTACGTGCAATCTCGTACAGGCTATTTATAGAATTCCTTTATTCCGACAACATTTTCTACGCTTTTAGACGTACGAAAGATCCGTCGATGTGTGAGTTAATAGACACGCGACCATTGTCTCACCTGTCGTTTAAATCGATGCGCGAAATCTTGAAAAGAACGAGACGTCGAGTGATCGATGGTTTAGATCTATCGTAGACAACTGAGCCAAGACTCTTCGCTCGTGATTCATGAAAAAATGAACCTCGAGATCTGCACACGCGACAAGCTACTCCGATCAACCGAACGATCGAGGAATCGCGAAAGCATCGCGACTCGTCAACACGAATATTTCCCATAATGTTGGCATAATTTTGGAATAAAGGCTTCTCGATGGAAAGAAAAATCGATGGGAACTGGAAGAAAAGACACGCGTCACGATTGAGACATAACGGGCTAACGATAATTAACCCGCGGGGTTACGAGAAGACGAGTGGAGTCTGGTACGGGAGACAACGACGACGACGAGGAAGAGGACGACTGCGATGACTGTGACGGTGAGGACGAATCGTGGAGCAACCTCGTGGTGTTCGAAAAGCTGGTCTGCGCGATCGCTGGAAGCGGCGATGCTGTTCCAGCGAGGACACGGTGGTGGTGGCGGCGGCGGAGCTGGTGGTGGCGGCGGCTGCAGCCGATGGACCACCCGAAACGAGGGTGGGGTGGGGGCACCCCTGACCCCGGCATTAGCCGGCGGTGAAGGGAGGCAACGTTTATATGCGGCGGCAATCCGCCCCGTAGGCGCATTCGCTCGTACGCTTCATCCAAAGCGGACTTACACGAGAGAGACCCGTTGTTTTATCGTCAACGTCACCGCCGTTGTTGTTGTCGTTGCCGTCGAGTCGTACCAGACGAACAGGATCGAGGCCACGGAAGAAGGAGAGCAGAGTCGCCGGAGGCTAAAGTCCGAGAAGCTGCAGTGTCGAAGCAGTTGCGAGTTAGCGAGAGTCGCGCTCTTTGCAAGGAGAAGAGAGAAAGAGCGAGAGACGAGAAAAAGGCCATCGAGGTTGATCGGTGGTCCGTGATAGCTAGTCGAAAATCGCATCGTTGTTCATCCCGGTGATCCATCGAGTTCGCTCGACTTAGACGGCAGTGAAAAGCTCAGGCTTTGCGACATCGAAAGCGATCCATCTATTTTCTTTGGGCTTGAAGAGTTTTCGCGAAGAAGAACAACACGGCGGATATGATGGCTGTCGCAGCGGCGCAGAAGAACCGCGAAATGTTCGCTATCAAGAAATCTTACAGCATCGAGGTGAGTACTTTGATACGTACATTAGATTCGGTAGAGTGGAATCGGTGGAGTATCGCGTCGGCTTCGATGATCGTAGAGAGAGTAAGGGAAACGTCGGAAATGTAGTTTCGGAGATAATCGCCGAGACAAACGCGAGGTCAAGCGTTGAACGGCTGGGCGGAGTGGCGGGAAAGCGCGGGAACTTTGCCGCACGTTTGAACTGTCACGATTCTCGCGCGTCGTGTCGTAATTCGATTAGCTACTCTTCGCGTACAATTACCGTAATTTCGCCGATTAATACCGTGAACACGGTACGCTACGACTTTCCTCGAAGCACGATCCTTTTGCCATCCTTGCGAAAGCGCATCCTCGCAAGTTCGAAAATTTTACCTCGCATACGCGTCGAAGCGCTCTAAGCTCGTGAAACGCGACCAGTTCTTCTAATGCAAAAACTAACACTGTCGTTATAGTAATCAGTCGTGCGACTCCTCGACGTCTAAGCTCTTCGACACTTTCTTACGCGGAAGAATCCTCTTTCTTCCTTGCCTACGTGACTTTCGTGATAAACGTCCGGTATATTTCGTAACAGGTGAAAAAATAAATGTCAACCTATGCTCGTGTAAGCGCGTGCACGCATACACGTACGCAAACCGGACGCTGTTCCTTCGGCCAAGCCGCGGAGTGAAATTCTCCAAGTGGAAGCGAAGAAGACTCCCAAAAGTATAGAGAAAGTACGCGCGCTTAATGACTATGACGATCGTTACGCGATATCGACGACCTTGCCGTTCGCTCTTATTCCATTGTATCGTATTCGCGGGATACTATTGCCGCGTTTATTTCTGCCGATAAACCGGCTGGATAATTTCCATTCCTCGAGACGCGTTACGTGGACACTGGTCGTCGAGATCGCGGAAGTTTTCGCCCGAAAACAGCAGTCGTTCTCGCGAGAGGGGGAAGAAGGTGGAAGGCAACGAAACAGGTGAAAACGACGCGAAGTCAGAAATGGCCGAGAGTCACGAGTCGGTGTGCTTCGATCTTTCACTTTTTCCGATCGATCCCGGCCGTACGCTTTTCCCTCCACGAGCTCGCTTCCCGCTCCAAGCATCGCGTTTGTTCCCAGCGCGGTATTAGCCTGGCAACTATCCGCGAGACGTCGGTTATCTCGCGCTAAATCGTTCGGACGCGACGATAAATTACGTCTCCGGTTCGTTATCGAACGCGTAATTCTCGATTGCAGCGGAGAACCGTCAGGAAATCGCGTGCCCGGCGAGCTCGATCCCGTGTCCTCTGGCGCGTTGTAACGGCGCGGCGCGGCGCGGCGCGGCGCGGCGCGGCGTGCTGATACAACGATCGCGCAATAACGACTTTCGATCGGAGCCTCCTCTCGAGGCCGTGATTCTTTTTTCCATTCATAACAGTCACGGGAGCTCTAACTCGGTCCTCTGAGAATTAGAATCACAAGGACGCGTCCCTGTCCATTTCCTCGCGGCACGGTAACGCGGATTAATATCTATCCAGGCGAGCCATCTGCTGGGAAATCTCTTCGGTCTAATCCTCTCGCGTCTTTTCGATCTTCGAGACGCAGACGTAAAGTTCACTCGAGGACGTGAAATTTCTCAGACGCGTTTCACCTCCAGACAGAGGAAGCGCTGGTTCACGATCCTCTCGTAGCCATCGATCTCGGTACTTTCTCCGCGTATCGTATATTTCACGAGCTACCACGCTAACGAGCGTCGCCGATGTCCCGTTAGGTAAACGCGTAATCGCCTGATGAAATTTTGGAAATCATTGTATCAGACAGCACAGCCGAATCTCGCGGAAATCCTGTACGAGTATCTATCACGAGACCAGGTAGAGAGAGAACGGTGACTCGAGTTCCACCGGTAAACTGCATCTGTCTGTGCACAATGAAACCCGGTATACGTAAGCGTACTTACGTATGCGCCGTTAACGACAATGGGAATCGACGACGACGATAAGTCTGACTCACTCGAACGGAACTTGCACGCCGGATCTAGATACCAGATCGGATCCAGAATCCGCTATCCGCGGGCTTGTTCGATCCTTATCGAGCCTGTTCGCGTTATTCCGTCGTCGGCTGGTTGAAAAATGACCCTGTCGTCGGGTTTCCTCATTATCCACTGGCAATGATCTACTCGAGCTTCGGCTCGTTTGTCTCTTTGGTATGCAAACGAAGGCTCGTGCCGCCTGCCGATTTTAGAAAAATCTACGACGATTGTTCGAATCCGTCGTGATTCTGATCAATTCGATCGGAACGGATCGGTGCGCGTCGATTTGTCAAAGAATGTGGCAATTAACGCGAAACACCCTCGATGAGAGCGTAAGAGCCAAGTTGGCCGACCGCGCGGCAGGATCGCATAATCGTATCGCGATTGCGAAATCGACCGACCTCGGATCCCGCATGATAATTATGAATATCTTATAAATATTAGAACGAAGTGATTGTAAGTCCAATGGTTGTCGAGAGGCGCGGAGAGGCCCTGAACGCTGATCTAAACGCCGTTACTCGCCTTTGGAGGCTCGCCACACGCGCGACAACGCCTCTAACCGCTTATCGACGACTTGCACGGTCAATCGCGACGCGTTACGGGCTTACGTATCGGCTCACATGCGCCTACACCCGCGTACTCGTGCATCGATGCCTGCTCGTCGGTCCACTATGCTAATCGTGTTAATTAATTGTCCTGTTTTGCCTATTCGTACCATCCAGTCGATCCGTGCCCTCCGCTCCGCTCAGTAAAATCATTTAACGTTCCAGATGCATTATGCATATCGATCGCGTAACATTTGTCGGTTGTTGTCGTTCTACAACTTTTTTCTCGCATTTTTTTCCACCTTTTTTCTATCATTTCTATTCCGATTCTTTTTTTACTCCTATCTTAATCCAATCGCGATTAGTTATCTCAATTTTAATGCATTTGCATGAATTCTGCCGAGCGTGGGTGTGCCGTGATTGAACACCGAAACGGGAACGAAAAGTGTAATTCTCATCCGCGGAAATTTCTCGCCGAATCTTCGATTTTCCGCCGATTATCGCAGGACTAATCCGCGTGACTTTATCGAACGCGTAATTTCGAATTTGCACGCTCGACCATGTCGGAGAACTCGTTTCGTTGTTTAACCGGTAGCCACAATACATTTCTGTAATGCATAATAGGTGTTACGTCGCGAAGTCAATGTAAAGTAACTAATAGCGCTATGCGGCTATGATTTTAATGGCGAAATAATCATCGACCTTGGGTGCATTTGTCACGCATCATTAGGCGGCTTTATCGGCAAGAAATACCAATCCCATGCGAATATCTCAATCAACCGCGAAACTCGTTGTTCGTTTCGCTCGGAACGCGCGAGTTTCTCGCGGACGTGCGCCAAGTTTCCCGACGAATTAATTCTTTCGTTATTCAAATTAGTCAGACCGGTCGGCGGAACTTTGTTCGCTTCGCCATGTTCGATTCGTTTGTCCCCTGTCATTCTTACCGTATCTCGTACCGCGTAATTACGCTTTTCTTTCCAATACGCTCACCTGTCTTCGGACAAAAAGCCACTCGTTAGAAATAGCATTGGATATAATTACGCGAGTGTGCATGACTCACGATCGGGGTAATTAACCAGGTGACACTGATTGAACGTAAGGATCGAATTGGTCAAAGCCGAGCGGTCTTTTTTCTCGCTACGTTGAATGGGAGAATTTTTTAAATCGGGCAATCGTCGAGTGACGCATTCGCGCGATAGAGTCATCGGTCATCTATCCGTTCCATCGACAAAGTACTTGGCCCACTTCCCGCGATGCGTTGTTAAGGGATTACTACACGTTTTCTCTAAACCGTGCCAACCGTTTTGCACGCTTGGAAAAATGGAATTGGGTGCCACCTTGCGTGCGCCATTCATCAAAAGCGGTGGTTCTGAATTCGAATGACGCCTCACTTCCATCTGACCACGAGATCCAGTCGATGGATTTCCAAACAGCTCCTCCAAGTCCCATTAGATCGTCTTGCCGCCTTCCTTTGCCGTCGTTAAGGATTTTTCTCTTTCCACTTCCCTCTCTGTCAATGACGATGCGAGAATGACATCGCGAGAGTCCGTCCACGCGTGATGTCCTTTGTGAACGCGATCGTTTTGTGTCCTTTGTCCTCCATTCTATTAATTTCCGATCCTTCAACGCCAGCCGGATGACCACGGTCAACGCTGATCTCCGTGTCTTCGAATCTTTATCCTAATTACCGGCTGTTCCTGCTGACCCTCTTGTTCAGTCCTGGCAGTTAGGTAAACTTTGATTCGCGATTTAGAGGGTTGCCAGCGATCGAGATTTCGCTGTTCGGTGACTCAGGATATCCGTCGTTTAAACGAGTTTAACGCGTGGTCGAAACGCGTGTTCAATTATCTGACACTTTGCTAAATGTCTATGGTTCGATATCGAAATATTTTTTCGTCTGTTTAGAATGGATATCCGGCGAGACGACGATCTCTCGTGGATGATGCTCGCTTTGAAACGCTGGTCGTGAAGCAAACGAAACAGAGCGTTTTGGAGGAAGCGCGCCAAAGAGCGAATGGTGAGTGATCTCTTACTTTCTCTATAATTTATACCTTCCTTAAATAGATGTATTTTCTTTTTATCTTGTTCCTCTTTTTCGTTTTCGATGTTCGACGTTGTTCCCATTGCACGATCGTTGTAAGAGTATTTTTAAAACAGTTCGTACCGTGTGGTTGGAATAAACGTCACTGACGTAACTCAATTTCAATTTGTTCCGCAACAGTACGCGTAGTATCGATGTTGCATGATAATTTTGTTCGATGTTAAACCCGATAGGCGATGAGACTACCTGCACGAAAGATGTGGAACGCGATGCCTCGTCGAGCGACGACGAGCAGGTGGAATCGTTGGCTTGCGCTGCCAAGAACGGAGGTTTGTAATTATCCATACCTGATCTATAGCTCTGGACCAATGAGAATACCTTGATAGCTTGAAAGCCGCGTTAGTCGTAGCATTTGGCATGAGCACGCATTCGTTTTTAACTTGCAGAAGCTAAGGCGGAAGTTTCGTCGGACAGCGACATTGGCAAACCCGATGAGGATTGCGACGATGGTAAGCGTATTTTTCACGTATTATTTGCAAATTAGCGAGAACCATGCGTGTCTCATCACTCCGCAATCGGTTCGAGACCAGTGAAAATGCCGAAAGATGCAGGTAGTCGGTGGCACAAGGCAGATAAAGCAAATGGAGGGTAAAGCTTCCATCGTAGATACCTGACCAGAGATAGTCGAACCGAGCGCTTTCCGACTCTTGGCTGAATTACCGAGGACCTCTTTCTACCTTTTCCCGGCTATTTCTCCGTCGTCTCCCTCTTGCCACCCTTTCATCGCTTTTTCGAATCCGCTTTGTGCATTTAGAATCGTATTAGCCGGCACGACCCCTTTCTCTCGCGTCTGAAACGTCCGCGTGCGTCCGCGATAAATGTATAACAGAGTTATTTCTTTTTTACCGTCTCCATCTTTGCTCGCCCTCGACACGTTCGTGGGCGACAATAAGAGGTACTTTATTCTGTCCCTATTCCCCCGGTTGCACCGGCGTCCATATAAAAGCGGCCGAGAGACATTTCGCGGAAATGGACTTTGAATTGCCCGATTATTACCGTCCACGGAAAATCACTTAGCGCCTCGAAATATCGCGAGAAAGTCTGAAAGAAGAAACGTTCCTCGGGTTTGATAACCTAAAAGGTTCAGCCATTCGCCACCGCGACTCGCAAGTTGCAAAATTTTATTCTAACCGCATCTCGCGATTTTCTTTATCAGACGCTGGATTGACCGAAGAGGAAGTGGTCCTCGCGAAGACCATAGCCGAGTGTCCCGAGAGCGAGCACACCGTGCAAAAAGCCGCTCTCGTTCTCCGTCTGAAGGAAGGGATCGGTTCCTTGGCAAGAATCCTGAAAGCGATCGAGAACTTCAAGGGAACGGTGACCCACGTCGAGTCCAGACCGTCGAAGAAGGAGGGTCTGCAGTTCGACGTGCTGGTGAAGGTCAACATGACCAGACAATGCTTGCTCCAGCTGATCAGGAACCTTCGTCAGAGTTCCGCGTTGGACGGCGTCACTCTACTCGCGGATAACTCTGTCAGCATCAAAGATCCTTGGTTCCCGAGACACGCGTCCGACTTGGACAACTGCAACCACCTGATGACCAAGTACGAGCCTGATCTCGACATGAACCACCCTGGATTCGCGGACAAGGAGTACCGAGCTCGCAGGAAGGTGATCGCTGAAATCGCCTTCGCGTACAAGTACGGCGATCCCATGCCCAATATTCCGTACACCGACACCGAGAACGAGACCTGGACCCGTGTGTTCAACACGGTCGTGGATCTGATCCCGAAACACGCTTGCATGGAGTATCAGAGAGTGTTCAAGAAGCTGCAAGAGGAGAAGATCTTCGAATCTCATCGCATACCTCAGCTGCAGGAGGTCAGCGAATTTTTGCAGAAGAACACCGGATTTACTCTGAGACCCGCGGCTGGATTGCTCACGGCTAGGGACTTTCTTTCGAGTCTTGCCTTCAGAGTGTTCCAAAGCACCCAATACATCCGCCACATCAACAGCCCGTATCACACCCCGGAACCGTAAGTGTCTTTTTAAAGACTTTTCTCTTTGTCACAGCTTCATAGTTATCCTATGTCTATCCGACAATTTGACATTTCAACGCACGCTTTGAGATATTCGCTTTCTGACAATTGTTAAGTTCACGTTGGAGAGAACTTCTCGTACGAAGATACGCAGGAGCAATCGATATTGCGTTATGATGAGAGCGACCTGCTGTTACACAGAGAACGATAATAATAGAATTACCGTGCCTCTCTAAGCTCGTAATGGAGCTCTAATTGGCTTTTAACGACACGATGGCGTTGATAACTCAGTTTCACAGTTGCGAACTCGTTTCTCCGCCGAAACAGCTCCCACGTTCGTCAGATTTTCGACATCCGCTGAATATCCATCGCCGAATATCCATCATAGGGAAAATTGAAACGGTCAAATTTGACTGACCTGCCGCAACGATTAGGCTATCCTTGCTCGGATCTTCGCGAAAGCTTCGGATACTCTTCTCCCTTCCTCGTCCTTCCTATTTTCATCCGGATAATGGTTTTTCGAGCTAGGAGATAGCTTGGAGATCGCGTCACTTCCATAGATACAACGACACTATTTCAGCGAGAAATTTTAGATAACGAAATTATACGTGGTAATTAGTCGAGAGATGAAAGCTTCGAGAGTTATACGACACGAACTTTCACCCCTGTACTTTGCCCTCGTTCTCCTGCTCCACGCTCGGTTAATATTATCCTTTAACGTCGACGAGAAAATGAGAGGAATAATATCGTGGATATTATCGGGAACGTTTAATTGGAAAGACTTATTCCTACCTTTTAATTCGCAGAGACGCGATCCACGAGCTCTTGGGACACATGCCACTGCTGGCCGATCCGAGCTTCGCTCAATTCTCTCAGGAAATCGGTCTCGCCTCGCTCGGTGCTTCCGACGAGGAAATCGAGAAATTATCTACCATTTACTGGTTCACCGTCGAATTCGGCCTCTGCAAGGAAGGGCCCGAGGTGAAAGCCTATGGTGCCGGCCTTCTGTCCGCGTATGGGGAGCTTCTTCACTCGTTGAGCGACAAGTGCGAGCACAGACCATTCGAGCCAACGACCACTGCCCTTCAGAAGTATCAAGATCAAGACTATCAGCCGATTTACTTTGTTGCGGAGAGCTTCGAGGACGCCAAAGAGAAATTCCGTCGTTGGGTAAGTGTCGATCGATGCTGGAGATTCGAATGCTCGGTACACCGGATGCTGTCGCTGAATTTTGTCGTACCGTTCGCGTTTAATCGGAACGTGGAATTAGGATTAAAAACGGGGAAAATACATTGGATCCGTTTGTTTCAGGTGGCCACCATGAGCAGACCCTTCGAGGTTAGATACAATCCGCACACGCAACGCGTGGAAGTGCTCGACAGCGTAGACAGGTTGGAGAACTTGATGTCTCAGCTGAACACGGAAATGACGCACCTCACGGTCGCCATCAACAAACTGAAGAGGTCCTTCGCGTAAAGACGAAAGGATGCATTCCCGTGTGACACGATACGATTACTCCTTTCGCGAATCACCGAGCTTCTCCGAGTTTCTCGATCTTCCACGTCTGCTTTACACGCGCGCTCGCGAGGAATCGCGACGTTTCCCGTCTCCTTTGAAGTTTGCTCATTGTTAGGTTGAGAATTTTAATCTTCTCGTCGTCCAGGGTCATTTTAAGCGGAGTAAAGTGTATATATATATAAGTATTACGATATTTCTCTATTTCTAGTTTCTTTTTCTTTTTTTTTTTTTCTTCTTTCTTTTCTCCATTTGGATAGACGTCGAGATCTCGTTGGCCCGGTGATCAATGTCGCGTCATCTCTATCACCGTTCGCCGTTTGCATCGAATCGTACTCACTCTGCGTATGAAGTCGTCGATCCGCGTAGTTGAACGAACATGCGCGCATACGAGTTACGAGTTCGAAGCGTTGATTCGGTGTTTATGCGCGCGTGGATCGAATTGATCGCTCGTATTTACGCGATACGAGCCGGCGATAAGTTTAATCGTGTACCTAGTGTTATTTATTGAATTCGCGTTCTCGCTTGTCCACGTGCGCGTTATTCTTGCAAAAAAGTATTATTGGTGGATCTCTGTGTTTGATAAAACGCCCCGAATCATGACGCGCTTCGAACGATCCATGCGTACGTATTTCGTTATCTCGTCCCGTTATACGTATCGTATTGTATTTTAATCTGTCGGATTACATGTTATCATTATTAATATTATTATATCAGTCGTAGAGTATCGCGTAGTCGCGTTTGAATTTGCTTCGGCCATCGCGATAGAACGTAATCAACGTGTCGTCTTCGCTTCGATCAGATCTATCACGAGACGGCTATTATATAGTATTATAAAGCAAAGTAGGTTCTTTATTTTAGGTAGTTATTAACGAACACGTATACTTCTTGGGAAACATGCGTGTCCTCCGATGATCGAAGGTGCGACGATTGTTCGTCGACGATCCCAAAGTCGATCGTACCGTTTTAACAGTCTTCCTTCATTTTTGTATCCAGACTGGCTTTCAGGAACAGAGAGAGAGAGAGAGAGAGAGAGAGAAAGAGAGAAAGAACGGAAGAAATCGCATCGTTTCTCGAGAAAGATAGTTAACTATTCACGAGCACAACTTCGATAACGAAGTCACGGATCAGTGTTGCATTAGAGACGCACCATCTAGCGCGTAGTGCGAGTCCTTGCCTTTGCACCTTGCACCGTTTCCCGTTGCTAACTCGTACCAAATATTTTTTCCCGCGTTCGTGTCGATGCGCACGCCTCTCTCGTGCTTGCTCAGCTGTAGAAAACGGTCGGCGTGTCCGCTAGATTTCCTTTGTATTATATTGTAAAGTACTCAGAGCATAATAAAAGTCTAAGATATGAATCTTACGAATGGTCCTCGTTCATCAATTCCGGATAAATTCCTCCAGAATTCTCGAAAACCAAGATTTTCCCATTCAAACCTCTTCTCGTTTCAGTTTAACACTCGCTTACATCCGAGAACTTGCTTATTTTTCTTTCCAGTTTCTCTGCCATTGCTTCATAGCTATTCTCACTCGTCGTAGCATTAAGCGTTCTTCGTCTCGTAAACACCGTTAAGTACTCGTACAAGTGCTTCTCCTTGTACACGCACATTTGTTTCGCGTCTATTCGATCGACGTGAAATCACTTGCCATCGGTTCGTTGCCATCTTCCGCCTCCACTTGGTCCCTCGAAAGAATCATGGCGGTGCCCGCGTAAACCGGATGTCGGTTTCCAGTCAACGGACGGGAACGAGCACTCGTGTCCTCTTCGGATATCATGAGGCTCCTGGCGGTGCTCGGTACGATCTTGATACAGTGCGTCGCAACCGAGTCATGGACCAACGATAGTAAGCGAAAGCGCGTTTGACTCGGATCAACCGAGTCAAGCTCTTTGCTCCTTCTTGCTTGCCAGGTTATTCGGACGAGGCATTCTCGGTGTTCGGATGGATCAGCTACCTGAAACGTGTCTCCCTGATAGTGCTGATGCTGTGCGGCGTGATTCTTTACTACGTTCCTGAATCTCGACCACGTGAGTAACGCTGGGGTTGAACAGGTTAGGGAGAAGATTTGTTCAATAGCTCCTGGTAGGGACATCAGCAGGCATTATTTACGCAGAGTGGTTCAAACGTTGTTACCTTCGATGATATAAAGAACACGGTCATGGCAGGAATATCGATATTTCGATTACAATTCAATTACAATACTTTTTGAGATTAGTATCTTTAGTATCTGTACGTCGCAAGTTCGAGGGCGCGGTTCAACGAGAATCGAGTTACAGATACGTACATTTTCTCCCGAATGTTTTGGACTTTCCACGAGATCGCGAGTTATCGAAATGTCTATTTTTCAGATGCTCGTCGACTTTGTTACGCGCTGATCGATATGACAGCGAACGGCTTGAAATCCGCGCTCAGCGCCCAGGAGAGCGAGTGCGCGTACGAGAAGATTAGGTCAAAGTACCATCGTGCTCGATACGGACAATCGTTGGCGACACAGAAGTGCGTTTCGCAAGAAATTCAAGACGACGACGAGAATGACGAGCGTCCGCAAAGGAGTATGAGAAAGAAAATTTTTACGGAGCTCGACGATGAGACTGGGTTAGTTTTATGGAGTCGTTGATGGGAACGAGAGTGCGAATTTCCGTCATGAAACGCACATCGTATCGATAGTGTCGTTAAATAACGCTAAACACGTCGCAGGGTGAAGGAAAGGAAAAAATGCAATAAAACGCATAAAGACCATCGCGTGTCGCGTCATCGTCTTCGAAATAACGTCATTAGAGATGTCTCGGGCGAACCTTGCATGGAAATCGCCAAACCGGTTTATTTTTACTCCGATAAATTGGACGATATTCAAAAATACCTGAAAACGAATGTATCTAGCGCGAAACGAGCCAACGGATCGCCCGTTGAGAACTACACGCTTTTAATCAGGTATAAATACGACGAGCCCGACGCCAGGCTTTCAAAAGAAAATTCTTGTTCTCCATTTATTCCAGTGGCAGTCCGCAACAAATGGCAGCGCTCGATGAAAAATACGGAGAGGACGACACGGTGATTGTTCGGGATCCTTATGCGAGGTTGGAGTACAAGGAATGCGGTACTTCCACCAACGAGTTATCGTCGAAGGAAGATGCTTCGAGCTCGGACCAAGAGGGACCAACTCGAGATCGCAACGACCACGTAACGAACATAGCGATCGAAAACCTCGGTCATTCGCGTCTTTGCGAATTCTCACGAATAATTATCCCGATATCAGGAAATGGAAACGTACGCGAAAGATGCGGAATACAGCACGATGCCGGAAGTTCTCAGTTCACGTTACTCCGTCGATAAGTCCTCGCGCGAAGCAAGCCAATTCCAGTGTGGCAGTGGGTGCTGCGGAAGCAATGGGTGCTCTATGTCGACCGCAGATCTGAGCAGCGGAGCAGCTGTCACGTCGAATTCTCCAGTGGACGCGAAAAATCTGTTAAAGTAACAAAATTATTATACAATCGTTATACAAGTCGCGGATGTCGATACGAATATTTTACATTTCACATACATCGTTTAAGGTCATCTCGAAGCATGGTCACTCCCAAAATGCAGAAGAAGATAGAGCAGAGCAACGAAAGTTTGTACGCCGATTACAATAATTACAATTACGTAGGAGATCGCACGACCCCAATTAACTTGCACAATAGTCGCAAAGTAGACTTCCGGGAAGTAATCGAGAACGACGAGGCACGTACACACCGAGTAATCGATCAAATTACGAAAGATCGAGGAATATTTTCGAAATATTTTTGTTTCGGTCAGGAATTCGAGGATGGTAAACGTCGGTACGATAACGTGTCGAAAATCCTCTTGAAAAATCTAAGGAACCACGACTCGCGGACAGATTTTCCTTGCAACGACGTTTCTTACTTCACTGATCGAGGAGGTGAAGCCGATGACGAAAATTCTCTGCACGGAGGGCGAAGACGCGTTAGGAATCGCGATCTCGACGAGGAGCCTGAAAGAGAGAGATCCTTGTTCCCAAGAGAATCCGACGAATCGCTCTTGGATTACTATCTCGACCTTCGTAACGAACCTATCTTGCAAAGTACGTTCGAGGATACATATGACATATATTCCAAACTATACATCGCAAGAAAAAAAAAAAAAAAAAAAAATTAGATAAAATTGCTCGACTGAAAACTATTGGAACCAGATCGACTGAAACCAGCGCTGGTACGAGCGGTAAATTGGATCTTCGGCGGTTGTCCGGAAGCGTCGAGAAGAGCGGCTGCAAAGCTTGGCGAGGTCGGAAAGGAAGAGAGCCAAGGGATAACCGACGGGTGGCTCCGCTAGCCAAGGACAACCAACCTGGCTTGGCGAACGGTTTTACTGTCGGCAAAACCGAAGACCTACCGCATCGAATATATTCGCAGCTTGGTCGAAACCGTAACGATCGTTGCTTTTACGAAGCAACTCGGCGAACCGTTTATCCATCCGTGCAACGGAATAAATAAGAAAACTCGTTTCCTCGTTCGTTTACTCGTGTAAATGGGAACAGGCGATATAAATGTGGAAGCGCGCTGGCAATAACGAGCGAACGAACTATCTCGTTCCGCGAATTCGATAATTTACCAAACAGATTCGCGGTGCATTGCAACGACGCATCCGGAAGTGTTTGCCGACCGCGAAAGCGTTCCGCGAAACGTCGATTGGTTTCACGAGGTCGAGCATGGCGCTAAAAGTTTACACCGCGATACCGCGACTTCGGGGAGCGCAGAGGCGAGTCGGCGAACGCACAGGAAGCGAATGGAGTTTTCGAAACGCGACCTTCTCGTTGGTGCGCGCTCCGCAGCCGGAAGTGGATATCGCGCGTATATACGTGGCCGAAGAGCAATAAAGGAGGCCCGACTCACGGAGCCGCCAAAAGAGAATGGGGAGAGACAGTCGTGCGGAGACCAAGACGCGCGTCGGATCACGCAACGGAACCGCGAAATTGCCAGGAAGCACGTGACGCTACCTGCCGATACGCACCTGGGCTCGTTCGATCGCTCGAACCCGGTTACGGTTTTCACCGTTTCGAGGAACGCGTGGATTTCCGATATCGACCCATTCCGCCCTGTTTCGCGCGATTAGCTCTCTTCTCCCTTCGCAACACCGTCTTCGAAAAGGGAACTCGCAGCCTCGATAGTAGGGAGCAAAGTATCGCCGCGAGTTCACGTGCACGCTCGCTCTTTTTCCCTTTCGTTTAAAACAACAGCCGAGAGGGTACACGATGCCCGGCTATCGCGCGAGTTGATAGAAAGTGCGGCGAGGAACGCCGAAGGAACGGTACATCGGTGTGTTCTAGGCGACTGGTAAGTAAGTATGCGACGAAATAAAAATAACGCGGGGTTTTTAATAGTCGAAGTTGTCGGAGCACGCGTGGAACAAGCTCTACTAATAACTTTCCCCATTTTTCGCGTTCCACTACTTTTCCCAGCTCGCGTCGTAATTTATATCGGGGGGGAAGAAAGAAAAAGAGAAGAGACACGGAGGAATATTTATAAGACGGAACGTACGCGCGCGAGAGTATCGACGAGGTTGAATCGCGGATGAAGAGGAATGTCGTACATATCGAGCGTTTAGGTGGTCCGGGAGGAAAACACGGTCATGTCCGATCTATCGGACCGGTTCACCCGTAACGCGACTTACGTGCCGCGATGGTACATTGTTAGACGCCGGAGTAAATTCCTCGAATTCCACGGGACATGTGCGAACTGTTCTATTAATGTACCCATCACAGTCTTCCCTTCTCTGTCCCGACGCCGTGCCCGCACACGCACCTCCGTTCCCGCTCTTTCTCCGCGACGCTTCGCCGTTCTTCCATTCCCCTTTCGCCCCTTTCGCCCCTTTCACCCGGCGCCGACGGGACACCAGAGTATGGCGTATTTAAACTTTCGTTCGAAGGGGAACACGAGGCGAATGCCTCGGCCTATCGTCGCAGATGGTCCCGTTTTGATTCCGATCAGGCAGACACGGGACACCCGGTAAATGGAACCGCGTGTACGATATCCGAGAACGTCCACCGCTGTCTTAAGATCGGAATGTACAGATTAGTGACGGGTAAACGAGAGCACATCAGCTATTTCGTCCCAGACTCTCGCGTCTTTTCCAACTTCGCGAATGAATTTTCGATCGTAGTTCGCTGGCCGATACAGTTCACCGCGTAATCGGTATCGCGAGTTCTCCAGTCTGCAACCGATTTTCCACGCGTTTTCCTTCGCAGACGCGGTCATCGGACACCGGTTTCCCTGTCTCGCGCGAAATTCGCCGGTGTTATCGACGCTCGTGGAAGGCAGCCAAGGAAAGATGTAATCGTGACAAATTTTCGTCGGTCGTGGTCGTGGTCGTCGTACGCGAACCTCGCGTCACGGAAACCGCGCGCAGCCCCGTGTTTCCTGCCGTTCGCCACGCTCCTGTTCATCCAACCCCGCGCTACATGCTTTTGTTACACTTTGTGCAGTGACAAATGCGCGGAGTATGACGTCGAACGCGATTAGAGGTATTCGGAGGAAGAAGAGTTCGCTATGCGAGGTAAAGGTGGCCGTGATCGGAGCGCCGGGAGTCGGCAAAAGCGGTGGGTATACGACTTGTCGCGAATTTTCCTCCATTTCTTTCGAAAGCGTCCATCGCGAATCGTCTTTGACTTCGGTGCTAACGAACGTTTCGATCGACGCCACGTTTCGCCGGGATAGTTATGTAAAGTCAGCTTTTACTTTTCCAGTTGTTACTTTGTTTTCGTCCGCCGGCGCGTTACAACGCGACCGCTTTCCTCGCATTTTCACTCGACTCGCTTTCAACGCGAGCTCGCTAACGCGTAATAACGCTTAATTTCTTTGCGACGGTAACGAGCGTGACATTAACCGTAATCCCCGCGTACAACGCCGTGTGCACGCACGGTTAGAAAGCGCGTGTAGATCGAATCGACCGTATGGAAGTCGAAACTAACGAGTCGTTACGATTTACCATCGTCGCGTTCATGTATCCTGCAAATTTTTCTTCGCCGAGAAGGAATATTCGCTCGAGAACGATCGCATTGGGAAAAATTTGAAGTACGATTAATTCGGGTGCACGCGTCGTATGTGTCCACGCGATAGGTGTGTGTACGATAGACGCGGTTGGGACCCTGAGAGGAGCCAACCGCGTGTATTTTTGGTAATGGCACGTGTAAGGCATAGGTGAATACATAATTGGTTGGGCCCCAGCAACTGTGTTTCACACCGACCGCAAAACGTTCCCGTACTATTTATAAAATTTTATTTCAAAATTTCCTTGGATCGCGTTTTATAAACGATTAGACGTCTCCGTGAATTTTTCACGGTTAAGAAAAATAAGAGACGCTCGATTCGCGTATCCCGAAGCAACGATGATACCGTTTCCCCTTACGCTCTGTGCTTTCCATCGAACGTATTTTTAACTCGCCAAATAATTGCCCGGTTGGTTGAAAGAAAGGGAATAAAGGCGATCCGAGTAGCCGAGCTGATCCGTGCAGAAAACTGGCACGAAAACCAACGAACTTTTAATGATCCACGCGAGGGAAAGCGTCCAAATGATGTTGCTCTAAGGATTCGAACGTAAATACACGGATCGTCGATAAATTCGTTTTCCACGAAATGTTCAGATGGTCCTGTCAATCATGAAATAAAGCACACCGCAGAACCCGCTGCGAGCGTTTAGGAAAGGCACTCTGCGGTCGGTTTACAATTTTAGCTACCTCGCGCAAAGTCGAGAGTTTCGCGTGGAAAATCAACGCGTTTCGGTTTCGCGAATCAATGTTTCAGCCTCGCGGATAAAAGCCCCTTATGCTTTCTTCGAAAATTCCCGCATCCGAAAGTCTCTTTGAATTTTCTGTTGCCGGTTAACCGACCCCGATTCCATGCATTGTCTCGAGTTCGTTCGAAAGAAACTTGTTCGCCACGCATATAAAGCAGGTCACTTTTCATTGAATTTAAGACGAAACACACCATGGTGACGTTTAACGCTCGTGCAAGGTTTTGTGGCGCCGCGTGGCAGGTTCGAGTTCGAGGTAAAAATAGTGCGGTGTACCTCGAAGCGGGTCACTAGGCTGTAGCTCTCGTTTCTCTCGATTCGATCGCGATACGTCGGAACGCGTATATCGTATCGAGCAAGATCGCGTACGTTTCCACGATATCAGGTGGAAATTGATTTTGCCCGATCGAAGAGGCAGCAGAAGTCGAATGAACCGGAGGCTCCAACTCGGTCGCCTCCATTTCTCGTAAACCAAACACGCCAAATCGATAACCAAACCACGCCGCCACGCGTTCTTCTTTCGCAAAACGAATTATTTCTCCCTTGCCAGCGGTTCGCGCCGCGAATTATTCCGTTCGGATACCTACACGAAGAAAGGACGGAATTGGGACAAGCGACGCTAAGAAAATGTAGGTTGATAACTTTCTAACACACGTGTGTGTGGAATTTGTATCGACGAATGCACGATCTAATACTTGTCACGCTCGTATACACGCACGTTTACCGAGGCAGACGAATACGGTGGTATACGGAATAATCGTATCGATACCGATCGGAAGCGGAATCGAGAGCGCGTCTCGTTCTTTACGAGAGGGCGAAACGTTTGGTTGGATGAAGCGATTCGCGATTCACGATGGTCTCTGTTAGCTGGACCGAGAAATTTTCAACGACCCGGGTTTTTCTTAAATTCCAGCGTTGACAGTAAGATTTCTAACGAGAAGATACATCGGGGAATATGATCACCAGTCAGGTAAGGAGCATCTCGATTTACAAGTGCGCGGCCTGTTAGCGACGAGATGCGGCTTCTCGACGCGGTGTAAATTACGATGAAATGTGAATAGAGCGGACAATAGAATGACGCATTTTTTTTGAAAAATTGCCAGCAACTGCTAGCGGCACCTCAGGAGCCGTGTATACTCAGATCTAAATTTATCGAAGACGAATTTGACACTAGACAGGACTGGTACTAATGCGAGGTTGATACTCGAACAAAACTTCTTGTTTTGTACAAATACAGAGACGCAGACAGAAGGAACAAGCGGCTTCCTTTCGAGCACGTGCTCCGTCCGGGATCTAAAACTAGACTGGACTGGAAAGATCTACTTAACAGCCACGACGGCTACCTGATCTCTCTGTTGCAACGCGTGTTCTCGCGGTGAAAATTTATTACATAATTTTTCCGCGCCGCGTCCAGGATGCTGGTCGTCGAATCGTTTTGCACGCGCCGACTTGAGTTATTGTTCGCATTAAAAAAGCTTTGGCCTTCGAGCTTGTTTTCTTCTTTCTTTCTTTCTTTCTTTCTTCCTTTCTTATTTTTTTTTCTCTTTTTTTCTTTTAGAGAACAGATACAAGCACGAGGTATTGGTGGACGGTGAGCCTATACTTTTCGAAATTTTGGACACCTGCCCGAAGGTAATACTTTTATCGACGATCCGATGGATCTCTATCCAACGAGATGTTTTCGTAAACGAATGTAAAAGCGTGCATTTTCTTCTGTCTTTCCCTTTCTGCCCCTAACGACGTTACAGAGCGAAGACGAATTACCCTCCACGGAAACTGTGCAATGGGCGGATGGATTACTTTTAGTCTATTCGATAACCGACAGGGGTTCCTTCAATTTCGTGAGGAAGGCAAAGGAAACGCTCGCGGTGGTTGATCCCGAAGCAACGATGCCTCTCGCTTTGGTCGGAAACAAAGCCGACATGGTTCACTTGAGGCAAGTTAGCACCGAGGAGGGAGAGATACTCGCGAAGGACTTTGAATGTTGGTTCAGTGAAGTGTCTGCCGCGGAACAGGTACGTTTCTAATTTTCTCACTGTTTAAAAGTATAATTTCGCGTGGAAAAGATTCGTGATTTTAACGCAAAGATATCCCACGTTTCCCTAGGTTACACAAGTCGCTGAATCCTTCCACGAATTGTGTCGAGAAGTTTTGGCAGCTAGGAGGAGGAATAAACAATCTTTGTTGGACAGAATGCTTGGTAGCAAAGCGACCCGTGCTTATTCACGAGGTAAAAGTGACTCTGCGCTTCCAAAAGATTAATATACATGTAATCGTTTAATTTACTTATACTATATATATATATATAAATATTGTTTTATAAAATTTATATACATAAATTTTATAAAAGAATCGTTTTTAAGGGAATTTATAATATAATCTTACAGATTAAAATTGAACGAGACATAGCTTATCCGTATATGTGTATCTGTTATCGAAAGTTTTAGTACCAAAGATTTATGTAACATCGTGTAACGTTTTCTGATTTCTATGATAGTACTATGTAAATCGTACATAATACGTATATTTTAGAAGTTTCATATTATAACAACGTAAGCAAACGGTTTTTTAATATACGTTCGTGTTTTTTAATGGAAGAATTTATAATTTTAATACCGATTGACGTATGTAAAAATTTCATACGAGATATAAATGTTTAAATCCAAATTTCTAAAGTTCTACATTGTTATAGTATATACAAATTATCCGACTTTCTCATTTTCCAAGGCTGTTTACAAATGTGTAACTTATGTGAGCATAGTTTAGATAGATATGGAAACTTGTAATAATCGATCTATATTTATTTTGTACTTACAATGAAATTATGACAATAAATATTTTACTTATTTATTATATCACTGTGATATGTAACACTAAAACCTTAACTTGAAAATAGACGACTTTCCTTATGTAATAAAGTTCATTATGTTGTGGTAATAAAATTCTTATTTCTCTTTTAACACTTAAGTCATAGATTCGTTTTATTTACAAAATTCCAGGAATACTTATTTCGTATCGTCATATGTTTCTAGAACATCTGCTAAATGTTCGTTATCTCTTGGCTTTTTGAACTGTTTCCTCTTACTAATAGGTTTCTTTCTTTTCATCGGAGCTGGTTTTTTGGGACCATGATCTTGCATAGATCGTATTCCTTGTTTTTCTAAATATTCGTCGATTTTTTGATCATCCATTGCATCAACTGCAACAGCTCTCCATAACTTTTGGAATTCATCGTCTATAGGGAATTGTGCTGTTTTATCGTTATAAAATACAATCTTTTTCTTATCCAAGGGTCTTGTTATAAATAATATTTCATTTTGTAAACTCTAAAATTTTAGGTTTCTATTAAAATTGCTGCCTAAAACTGTGTACTACATCGATAGTATTGGTACCATCGTGGTTCTACTTGCCTTTAAATGTTTATCACAGTGTGGCAGGCTTTCTTGTATATCTTCTAATAGTATTCCACCAAGACCTTTTAGGTCTTGTTGCTTTAATAATCTTAACAGAGATTTCTTATCTTTAATTTTATACATAGCTTTGAATACAAATCTACCATCCGAGGTTACTTCTATCTTTGGATTTTTAAGAAGAGCTTCCCCTTGAAGCCACTGTTTTACCTAATACACAATCAATTTTATGTTTTTACGCTATCATAGCATCATTCGTATAACGAGCTTACCTTGGAGCCAACGTCCAATTGATTTGTTTCATCTAAAATTTCTTCTAAAGATAAAGGATGATCGTCTCCATCTTGATGCCTCGCTTTCATGTGCTTTACAATTTTAGCTAAGACACCAAATTTATATTGCGTACTACCAGACATGGTTTTATAATTAACCATATCCAGTTTTGGACCACTAGATACGGAGGATGGTTTCGGTTTTTTCTTGAGCGGCTCATCTCGTGAGACATCTTTTTCTTGTTCCTTTCTTTTTTTCTCTACCCTATAAAAATAAGATTGGTCACTTACAATATTGCGTTGCACAGCGTCTAGGTTATGAAGTACAAAATTTGTACATATTCGTGTAATTCGAATCCAGCAACTCGTATATTTGAATTACAGCGTAAATATTATAATAAAATTAATTTTCGGAATATCTCAAACCTGATATATGCTCGAAACGTAACGTATACTTTTTGTAAGAGTGGAGGTTAGGAAGAGGATTTTTTATGTAATACTCACGTTGGTGTGGAAAGAGCTTTTTTTTTAAAGAGCTCTCGCTCTCTAAGCAATGCTGGATCCATTGTGTTATAAAGTTTCAATTACACAAATATCAAGATCCCTTTATTCCGAATTTCCTTACGAACTGTCACTTTTGCCACATTCTAGCCGCCCAAAGAATCGTCCACCAATCAGAGGTTCTCATTCGCTTCGTGCGTCTAGCGACTCGAAACAGTAACGCGCATGCGCGTAGTTTCAATATACTGTAAAATTTCAAATCGCTTCGATAGTTGAAATATCGAAGTACGGTAGCACGAATAAAGTCGGACGATACGGTGAAACGTGCGTGGTGTACGAAAAGTGTAAAAAATGTGCGAATATATTCGTAAATCGCAAACAGGTGATTCGTAATATCGGAAAAATAGGTGTAATTCCAAGTGTATAAGAATATTTTTGTATCGCGACAAATTTATATCTACAAATACGATATTTATTCTTGATTTCCAAATACCACGTAGAATCTCTCGTCGTATTCGTCACCATTTGACCCTTGTGAAAGTCAAAGCGTGAATTACTTGAAATTCGTATTTCAAATTTGATATCGATCGTCGCAGTGAATCGGTATTTTATGATTTCGTACAATTGCGAACGTTTTATACGCTAGAAAGTAACCGTAGTTCTCGAACGTGTTTCTACGACGCAACAATTGTGACATATTGCAAGCGACACAGCCGGCTTCCTTTACATCGTATTTTACGAACGTCACGCGAAAAGGGCAGAGCAACTACGGTCTTAAGAGCAGTTTCTTCTGTGAGTCTAAAAGGAAGGAACGAAGAGGGCATATTGTTCTTGTTGCAAAAGGTACATACGATACTATCTTTCTTTTTACGTATATTACGTACAATACGTATTACGTACATTGACTTTGTACATTGTACATTGCGTCACTTTGTCACGTACGCACTATCGTTCTATTTCCACGCTTCATATTCGAATTTCTATACTTCGATATTATACAAATTTCCAATTTGGAGAAAAATTACTCTTTTTCCTAAATTGGAAATTCGTATAATATCAAAGTATTGTATAATATCGACCGCTTGTCATACTAGTGTCTATGCGTAATATACGTAAAGAATTTTCGCGCCAATCTGTCCGCCATTACCGTCGTTCGGAATGCACGTAAATTACGAACATTATACAACGTTCATGAAAATTTATATTCGATTTGAATTTACGAAATAAACAATATCTCTGCCAAGAGTTATTGCTATTTAGCGTGATGTAAACGTTCGCAGTTGTAATAAAAGAAATCAGAACCGTAGTCTATAGTGGAATGCCAAACTGCAAACATCAGCGTCGCGAAGTACAGGGGCGTAACGAAAACATCGACCTGCGTAGATTCGTCGCGTGTTACGGTGTTGACATTCGACAACCTGTTCGGACTCGCTTCGGAGTGACGTCACTTAGAGTCGGTTCGGTTTTTCTTTCATACCGACTGAGCAGCGTGGCTGGTGCGCATCGGTATCCGTGGGCTAGAAGGTAACAGGAAATGCCGTGTGTAGGACGGTGCGCTCCGGTCGTACATGCGCGTTAAGCGTGCGCTTGCAGCTCGAACAGAGACAGAGAAAGAGGGAAAAAGTGAGTACGGGAGTGAGAGGGTGAAAACAGTGAGCGGGAGAGGGTGTACGACGAGGTTGGTTGGTGGAGGAGATGGCACCGAGACCGGGATCTGTAGCAAGGAGAGCGGCAGTGGGCAGAGGAGGGCAGAGGAGGGAAGAAGAGGCGCGAAGGGAAGGGAAGAGAAGGGCGGTAGGGCTGGTTAAATGACGGCTGGTACGGGGCGCGGGGCCGCGGGGGACGCGGGCATGGAAGAGAGGGATGCTGGGGCGGTTCAAGCGAGATCGAGTTCACGCCAAGTGGAGTACGGCAGTTTGTGTCAGACCACGGAGCACGGAAGATGCTCCCGGTTGTTTACGGAACGGGTGGACCACCCTCGTCGCGGCGGCGGCGCCGTGCGACGATTTTTCTCGGTACCGTGTCCGCTACGCTCGGAAACACCAGGAAAGTCGCGAGTTCTCCCTGGATCGTCAGGCCAACCTCCACTGCCACCATTATGACTACCGCTTTGGGCCTTTTAATGATTCTACTGCCTGCGGCGTACCCGGACAAGATACCTATCGGTGAGTGCAGTTAAAGTGTTCTATCTTTCATCGAATTTATCGAATTCCCGTGCCCATCGGGGGCTTACGCGTCGTACGAGAACGCGACACGGCTGGTCGAACGTGGTGCAACTGCTCCAACGGTTATGGAGGGTTGCACTCGACTCCGTCTCGTAGGTGTCTATTCACGTCGGATGCAAGTAAATGCGTACTCCGTTCTCTTCGTGTGCGGTTGCTACGCTCCGCGTGAAAGCTTCCGCACATGATTCTCTTTGACGGGGCGCGAGGGGGCAAAGCGGGGGGAGGATATAGTCGCGTAAATAACGCGTTTTTCGCGCTATGGAAGCGAACGATAACGGTCGTTCGCGAACGCCAGTGCTTCGCGTTTCGTACGTCGATTAGGTCGCCAATGTTTATTTTTCAGCAAAATACGCGCAACCGTTGCAAGGTAAACAGCAGCCTAGGTGGGGTCGTGGTTGAAACGGTAGTCTCCTTGTCCGTTCACTTTTGCGCGCTGTTTGCAGAAATAATAAATAAAAGCTTCCAGCGTTACGATGGTTTGTTGTGATTATTCGCAGAGATGTACTGTCGAACTTGCCGGTTGTATCAATAACGAAAGGAAACACGTTTCGTTAGCAATGTTTCTAAAATCGTGTACGCGTACACACGCAAGACGTTATTATGCTTTGTCACGCAAATTCGATGCAAGGATAAAAGTTGCTTCTTCGTCGTTCGCGTTAAATACACAGCGCAAATTCATCGCGTATGTTTAATATAGTAATAATAATTCGTCATTTATAACGCGAATTATGGAATCGTGTTTATTTATTTAAATCGTAATATAATTACGTACGAAATGTTTCGTATTTAATCTCAAGTTTTTATCGCGAGATCGATTTCGATAATACGAAACGAAAGTAGGTATTATCAACGCGGATATTCGAGGTGTTATAATCCACTATCTTTCCCTTGTTTTTATCTTCTCGATTTACAACGCTGCATCGATACACGCTCAGTTTTTAACGGGGTTACGGATCCAAGGGAACCATCCGATAGCGAAATCGCGAGACGGAAGCTCGCGATACGATTCTACCGTGAGTCGATTGATCCATAGTTGATTACGTTTCTGATTGAAATAACCGCGAGCAGAAAAATATTCATTATTTATTCAAGCGTCTCTCGCAAAACGGGAAATCGAGAAGAGCACGACCCCGAATCGTTGGGCGTTTATTCGACGCGATAACAAACCAAGACCCTACCCTCCGCGATTTTTCGCCAATCAGAATTACGAATTCCATCGCGAACACGTTTACGTGGAAGTTGCACCGTGAAACACCAAACGCACGCAAACACGCGAATCGTTCTCGTACCTTCGGTCAAAATAATGTTCCATCGAAATAGTTCTAGTCGAACTCTTTATTTCCAACTCGCAACTTAATTAAACCGAGCCCGAAGTTGTTTCATATAACGGCGAACAACCCTAATATTAACTCTGCCTCCGAATGACGCCACCGCGTACGTACATACGCCTGGGAGCGTGAGTTTCAACGATACAAAGTGCGCGTGATTAAACAACGAAACCAGGCATACGATTAAAAATGCTCGCAATTCCCGCGACGGAAAGATACTTGCGCGATATTCGCTTCTGCGAAATTGTATTAACGTTGCATCCCCTCTCCCCGTTTCCATCGCTGTATCTCTCTCGACGTATCTCGCGAGCCTGTGGGCGGTAAGAAAAATCGGTCACCGAAGTCCAGCGTGGCGAAAAAGCGTGACACACGGTTAAAAGCCCGGTAGATTACCGTCAATGCGCATCTCGGCTACGTAACGCTAGAAGTTGCGGGGAATGACTACAGCGAAGTTAAGGACGCCGAGTGCCGCGGGCAAGGGTAAGACGGAGAAAGAACTAGCGAGATGTCGCGAGGGTCGGTAAGGGAGCGGAGAAAGTGGGCGCGCGAGCGAGACGAGGAAATGCAGAAACAGGGTGAGGGTGGCGGTGGAACGGAGTGGCGTTAAGAGGGCGCGAGCGAGTGGGAAAGAACGCGAGACAGAGGGTGCGAGAGAAAGAGACAGAGAAAGAGACGGAGAAAGAGAAAGAGGAACGTTGAGCGAGGAGTGAATGATGAATGCCTATAGAAATGGCGGTGTCTTTCTTCCGCTCGCGTAGGTATGTAGGTAGAGAACTACCGGCTAAGTCGACGAAAAGACGAGGAGGAGGTCGTGGCACGAGAGGTGGTGGTGACGTTGGAGGAGGATGAGGATAGTTGGAAGGTTCGTTGCCTTGGCAAGTTATACCGCGCACGCCGGCTTTCTTTGCTACTCGAAGGGCGCTCTCTACCACTTCTCACCACCACTCTGTATATTTTTACGGAATTATGCGAAAGACCGTGGCGAAAATATATCAACGGGACGCGTCATCGGCACTTGACCTCGCTTATGATACTCCGCCACGCTCTTGTATCCCCGATTCGCGTTGGTCGTTCGTCGCGGAGGGCTTTAAGAGAGACAGTTTCCAACCGATTGCAGGTTCTCGTCGCGTTACGCGTACACACGCGCGTTTCGTATTCCCATACGAATCCTCGGGGTTGAAATGCACGCGTGTCCGAGCGGACCGTTGTTCCCGGACATATCCGAGCAAAGGCGACGAAGTTTCCGCGCCGACGCTTTGTCCCTTCGTTTGTTTTCGCCCGTCAAAATGGCCAACGTTTTTCGCGCTATGGAAGCGAACGATAACGGTCGTTCGCGAACGCCAGTGCTTCGCGTTTCGTACGTCGATTAGGTCGCCAATGTTTATTTTTCAGCAAAATACGCGCAACCGTTGCAAGGTAAACAGCAGCCTAGGTGGGGTCGTGGTTGAAACGGTAGTCTCCTTGTCCGTTCACTTTTGCGCGCTGTTTGCAGAAATAATAAATAAAAGCTTCCAGCGTTACGATGGTTTGTTGTGATTATTCGCAGAGATGTACTGTCGAACTTGCCGGTTGTATCAATAACGAAAGGAAACACGTTTCGTTAGCA